GTTCATCTAGTCTAAATGAATTGTACAAAATTGAAGGAAAAGTATATAGTGTAGATGGATCTGGTCCATCTGAGCAATTTTTAGTTGGAACCAAAATCATTGTAAATTATGGACAATACTATGGATTCCTCAAGTAATTAATGCTTATTATTATCATTAACATCTGATAATTTTATTTTCAAAACATTCATAGATCGGATGGAAGTTTCGAGATTACTAACATTCCACCTGGTTCATATGTAGTTGAAGTTTCAAATGCTGATTATTTCTATGATTCTATTCGAGTGGATGTAAATTCTCGTGGAAAAATTCGAGCTAGAAAAACGAATTATATACAGACTACTGAAGTCATTCAATTAGCATATCCATTGAAATTCAAATCAAAAGCGCCGTTCAAATATTTCCAAATCCGTGAAAGTTGGAAAATTACCGATTTCATCTTTAATCCAATGGTCTTAATGATGGTGTTGCCATTATTGTTCATAATGATTGCTCCTAAAATAATCAATCCACAAGATATGGAAACACAACGGGTAGGGCTTATTTTTAATTGATTATTTTTTAATGAAAATTTTCCCATCCATTAGGAATTGCAAAATTTACAAGGATCCGAATTGCCAGAAATTTCTGAAGTGATGGCCAATATGTTTGGTAAGAAACCATTGTCTCAACAGCAACAACAACAATTACAACAATTGAAAATTGGTAATAAACAAAAGAAAAAACAATAAAATATTTATTTGGAAAAAAAATATGTTATTTTATTATGTATTTCAAAGTAAAAAGGATATTTCATTTTAAAAAATTCTATAAATAATTATTTTGAAAAATGAGAATCATAATGATCGATGAACAAAACAAGCATTTCGGTCTATGAAGTAGTCGTGCGCAGGTAAATTACCGTTTTTTTATCTAATTCAATCACCTGCGGCACTACTACTTAGAAGACCAATGCTCCCAAGGATTTTGATGGCGATTTATATTGGTATTTCAAAAGAATATTTAAATAAAAATACCATTCACTTACGTTATGTGTAATAAAATGATATTCCACGTTGTCATCATCATATTTCAAAGGGTAAGAAAAACAAAACAAAAAATTATGAGAAAAACTTGCCCGCATTGCTACATTTACCAAAAAAAAAATCCATTGATGGTGTTGAACTTCTCAACCAAGTTAATATTAGTTCAAACTGAAATAAACTCCAATGTCCGGGCGGAAAAAATTGTCCATCGGCGTCTCTTTTTCATCATCATTTTCCACTCTCATTTTGTCCATCACTGTGCATCAGCCATCAGACTCGTTTGATATATATTAACGAAAGAGTGATATAAAAAAGTTTTAACAAAAGTAGAACAATCATATAAAATTAAACTAAAGATCCGGTGATCGAACAGTGAAGTACCAATAAATAACAAGAAAAAGGGAAACGCTCGAGTTTCATTTCAATCTCATTATTAATAATTATAATAGATTATAATAATTATAGATATCAAACAGGATAGAATGACAACAGACATATATCAATCATCTATTATTTTCAATGATCATTTAACCGGAATAATTCAATCAATTTTTCACACAACATACCGTTTGTTTATATTGACTACACCAAATTTATATTGAGAAACATTTGATAATAAAGGAAAAAATAATTTGGAGTAATTATGGTTGAATATCAATACATTGAACAACATGAAAATATTTTAGTAGTCGAATGATCAGTAAGGATCATCGATGATGTGAGGTGATGAAGTGTGGTCAGAAATATCTGGATAAGTGAAAATGATGAAAAAGACAAACATGAACATTGCAAACAAAATTAAACTGATCAAGTTTTTTTTCGTCACCGACCATCATCATCATTATTATTATTGAATTTTTTTTAATAACGATTGCCTAGCGGCACCACTAAGTCTGGAGTACTATTTGCATCTGCATTTACCATCCACATCGCCATCGCCATCATCATCATAATCATAATCATCAACATCAACATCGTCGTCATCGTCGCCACCATCATCATCATTTTCACTGTCTCTCTCTCTCTCTCTTTTTGAAACCGCTAATCGGTTACTATTGAGCATTTTATAAAATACCACACCAAACACAAATAAATAAGAGATTTTTTAGAACACCAAAAAAATATACAAAAATATAAGATAACAAAAAACCAGAGAGAATAATTTAATGGAAAAAACTCGCACACACACACACTTGTCTCAAGCATCTTGACGACAAATAAAAAAAAACTTTTTTTTTTGGACATCGGATCAACGGATCATCATCGTCTCCATCATCATAATCAGTTTTCGGTGTATTCGATGATGCTAATCATATCTTCTTACTTGCCTATATATGATAAACAGAATGACATGAAATAAACATATACATACACATAGCAATATGAAAAAAATTAATATTACAAATTTCAAATGTTACAATTAATAAAAATTTAAAAAATTAACAAAAAAAAATCTATGGTAAAAAAGGTTAAAATTTAGAATATAGAACACGCACACAAAATTATGGATACAAATTTTGTCCAGGATTTGATCAATTTTGTAGAAATTGATTTAATAATTTTTCTCTTTTGATCGATTATTTTCATCAATCATTGAAAAAAAACAACACAAATACATAAAATATGAATGATGATAACTGCCGCCAATAATAATCATCATCAATTCATCATTGTTGTATAGAATCCAAAGTCTTGTTTTTTTTGTGATAAATGATAATGTTTTCTTTTTGGTCTTTCCAAAGATATTGCCAATTGATTTGTCCATGTATATTTATTATTGATATCTGTGATATATCTGTGTACAAACTTGAGCAAAAAACAATTTTGTTTTTAGGTCCTTATTTCAATCATTGATCATCAAATAAAATAAAATAAAGATATAATCAAATGAATAACATCATCATTGAGAAGATGGCTATCATAATCAATAGAAAAAAATAGATGATTTGTCAAATGAGAAAATAAATTTCTGGTTCAATCAAAAGACACGTCAGCGTATCTTTTTTTTCTGTAAAATTATGATAAATTATTTTATTGTAACTCGTCAACTAAACCCACCATCTCAAAAAAATCCCATATTTTTTTTATATAATTCGCGTTATTAGGGTATATATTCGATGATGATTTTATGATAATATTTCGATTGATTGATCGAAAACATACTTATGGCAGCAGATGTTATGACATTCTGGAAATAAATAGAAATTTTATTAAGACTTTATTTAGATATATAATTAGAAAATTTTTCAAATAAGAGAAATTCAAAAGAAAAAAATCGGCTATTTGATAGCGAAACTTTAATCGTTTCGAAAAACGTGTTATCCGATTTTTTTTCAATAAATACAAAAAAAAATAATGAAAAGACATTAAAAGAAATAAGATAAATTTAGTCAATTTTATTACATTCACAGATTTTCATTCAATAAAATTTTCAAATATTTTCATGGATCTAAAGGGAAAAAGTAGCAACGATTATTATTATCGATTTTAATAATTTTAATAAAATTTTGATAAACGGATTATTAATCGATGAATGTTTTGGGCGAATTTGATCAGGCCTTATTGTGAACGCAATAATGGGTGTAGCAATACATGTATAGATAATTTTTTTAAAATGTTTTCAATACAACCATTATGTAAACGGTCACAAAAAGGCCAGTCAAATTATAAATTCGATATGATGATGACCATAATTTATTGTTTTACTTGCCAAAAAATTAACTTGTTTTACCTGTTGACGGAAACTTTGAATGAACTACCTGTTGCACATGTTCACATGTTTTATATTAGCCAAGTATATCATTTGTTTGGGTTTATGTTTATATTTGGTTATAATACTGCCGGTCGTTAATGATGATGTTCATTAGGGGCAGCTAGGCAACAACAGAAAATAGTTGACGATTCGAATGACTGATTAGTTGAATAATTTCATCGAATACTCAATTCATATTCAGAGTAAAAACTAAATGCTACATCGATAAGAATCTATTTTTACTCGATTAAAACTTTCGCCTATTTTTTATATACTTTCCGTTTTAAATTTGATATCGCCATAGTTATATTCGATTCCGGTAAGAAATGCAAGATTGAAAATGATTTTTTAGAATATTAATTTTTAAGCTAATCTTTTTAAAATCAAATCGATCAAATGAATTAGCTTGCGATTGGACGATCATCCTGGTGGCTGTGTCTAAAAGGCAGATGACATTTTCAAACCCACATTAAATTGGTTGAACCGTGAATTGATAAAATATGATGAAAATATTCACTTGAACATTCAACCTCAAAATGATAATATGATAATAATTATGTTATTTTATTAACGCTCAATTGATTGTTAGACATTATTGTTCTATATCATTTGTGAATAATGATATACGAATTGTAATAGTTTCATGTAATAGATGGAATAAAATAAATGATGACAAAAAAAATCATTGATTTTTTATAGAGACAAGATTGTTGTTCACAAATAACAATGCCAACCACCATGTTTTTTTTATTGAATACAAAAATACGTCAATACAATTGAAATTCCAGTTCATATTCTATCATTAAACTTTTTTTTTACACGGGCTATTTGTCATTTGTCATCCGTTGATTTTGAATTAATTAATAATTTATACACAAAATTGTCAAATGAGAGAAGTGACATACATTGATCTTAAAGGAACCAAAACGAATCATATCAAAAGGCAGAAAGAGATTTATTTTATTTTTATTTTTATTAAAAGATCAAAAGTAAACAAATGGATTTCTATGTGATGATCCATATCTTAGTTTATATAGTTCAGGATAAAGTTTAATTCGGTGAAATTGTGGCTTGCGATTCAAGTCAATTATTGCATTAATATCGATATTGTCATCATCAACATCAAGTTTTGTTAAATTTCAACAACAGCAACAAAAAACAAGAAAAGTTAAATTTGAACGAAGGGAAAAATTTGATTAAGGGCAAATGAACAAGTTGATGGTAATGATTAGCGATCAATTATGTTTTGATAATTTTGATAACTTTTTTTCCTCGGGGTCTGGAATTTTTAAATAATTTTGCTCATCAATTGAAGATAAGATCTCTGTAATGGCTTAACAAATAAACTAATGTAACACGACAATTGGTTGTGGAACGAACCACTTTAGCTCTATCGGCACGTTCAAAATTACTTTTAACCTGTTTCACAAAAAAAAATTTGATAGTTTTTACAATTGTCAATAGATTATTATATGATGAAATTACCATTTCAAAATATTTTCCATCACTAAGACACCAGCAGCGTAATCGCAAACATTTTAGTCGTATGGAATCGACAGCTTTGTTACTTCGATCAGAGAAACGAAGTGTTTCCGGATCCCAACGAATTTCCAAACGTTCAATGTTTGCGCAATTATTAGCAATCGAATCGATCAATGAATCAATATGAATTTTTTGATGTATTTTTTGACAGCATCCTTCGGGCATTCCAACCACTAATATTCTAATTTAAAAAAATTACAATGAAATTTGATCGAATTGTTAATGTAAATATAATTTGTACCAACCGAATATTCTTCAATGCTGGAATAATAACAGTCCAGAATTGTTCAGTCAAATGCGGTATACCAGATAATTGAAGACCACGCAGATTTGAAGCTTGATTTTTGAGGAATTTCATTAATATATCTTCAGAAAGATTTTCATTGCGATCCAAGTCCAAAGCAATCAATGATTTTGAATTGCCATTTTCAATGAATTCTTTGAGAACAATGTCGGTAAAACAATCTTGTTGACCGGCGCTCAAATATCGTAACGATGGTATCCGACAAAGTACATTAATTAAACATTCGGATGATAATTCAGTAGCTGTTATATCCAGTTCTGCTAAACATGTTTTTTCCCATTCCACATTCATCATGTGTTCATCTTGGAGGTCTATTTATCAAGATGAATCATAATTCTTAATTCAAAATTTATTATTAACTTACTTGTATGTTGCATCAACAGACATCGCAACCGTTTACAACGATTGAAAAGAGTCTTTAAAACACTGCCCGTGAATTTGACGCAAAAATTCAATGCTAAACATTCTAGCTGAATACAATTGCTACTCAAGGATTCAACATGGCTATCATCGACAAAATTGATGCCAAATAAATTTACAACACGCAAATTTGGTACAGCACTTTTGAGCTTATGGATGTTGACAACTTCATAGATTTCTTCTTCTTCATCTTCGACAGCTTTTTCATAAGTACCGATTAAATGTAAAACCTCTAGACCATTGATGAAATTATAAATTTTTCTCATAAAACCTTCCATGAAAATAACTTCGGACAAACAGATACACATTGTCCGTAATTTTGTTGGAAACGAATGCAAATCATTGAAATCGTGCAATTGCATAGCTGTTGAAAAATCCAATAGCATACTAGATAGATTGATACATTTATTTGCCAATTCATGAAGAACTGTATGAGTGATCAATTCGATAGGCAATTCAATGTATCGTAAAGATGGCCCGAAACGCATAGAAATCAATGTCAATAATGTTTCCAAACTTGTCACATGTAATCCTGAAACTTCAGGTCGAAGTGAAACATGAGTCCATAATCGTGAATCGCAAGCTATCATTCGCCATTTACGACAAACTCTAGCTACACGGCCAATCTCACGATGTGGTAAATATGTGAATATTTTCAAAACAATTTTATCAGGCAATCGATCTAATGACTTTGAAAGAAAAACAATCTGATGAATTCACAGATTCTATAGCAAAATAATAGTTTACCGAAGCGAATTGCCCAAATTGAACACTTTGGTTATGATTTGATTCCTTAATATTTGCCAAAGCGGCTGATGATACATCTTGAGTTACGGCCCACATTCTTTGGGTTAAAGGACGCTAATAAAAACAATTATAAGAATGCTATTCTTCACAGAATGAAGATGATGAACACTCTACTATGTCTAAAAATAGATATTTGTTCATATGCCAATGATGCCAGAATTTTTTTTTGTCAATCTTGCATAAGTGTATTATAAGAAATAAAATCAAATGAGTATTGTGTTTTTATTATAATTATAATAATATCATTTTAATAAATTAAAATTAGCTATTGTTTAATAGTCTGTCTCGCAATTGTTGTCGTCTTTCAATTTCCGATTGACCATTGGTAGTGATGAAAAGTTCGATTCTTGATTTCAATTCATGATTGATTCGTGGTTTATATGCATCGCTAAAGGCCACATTTGTAAATGGATCTTTTGATTCTTCAATTGTTTTGCCATCCAAATAACGTTCTAAAGTGGTTTTGTCAACGTTTTTATTTGAAGGCAGTAAATATGGTGTGCGCATCAATGCATTCGTTATTGAATCCATGAATTCTATTGGAGCTAATTGTTCCAATTCAGATGGATCTAGTCGTTTTTCATTTTCAACTTTTGGTTGAATTTCCAATTGCGGAATCATTGCTAAAAATCCGTTCAAATCATTTGTTGTTAAATTGGAAGGTTTTCCATAAAGATTCAAAAAACCAAGACAAGGTACGGATGAATTTTCACTTGAAATGATGCGAATTTTAATACTCTTTAAATTGGAACAATTTCGCCAGTTTCTTCCACCCACATAATGTACATTGGAATAGATTTTATCATGCGATGGTAATAAATTATTCGGTCGATAACCATCATTCACAATAGTTAAGATATCTGGCATTTGGTCTCGATATCTACCAACCAGAACGTAATCCGAATATCTCCTCGTATATACCTCAATGCCATTGGATTTATGAACTCTTAACCTCAATCCCAGTTCCAAATACATCAAGTCAAAAGAATATTTAATAAAATCGATTATGACCGTAACCGGTGGTCTAATGTAATATTCAACAAGGAAACCATTTCTTGAAACATTTGAACTATTTGAAATAAGATTTTCGATACTATGGCCATCATTAGATACTTGATCGCAAGCAATTTTCACCAAATTTTTATCAGCAAAATTTACGGCCATCGAGAATTCTGAATTCGAAAATCTAAACAATGTGATTTAATTTGAGTTCTTCATAAAACCCATGACTACAATTTTAAGCTCAAATCAATTTTTCAATTTTTTCAATTAAAATTCATTTTTATTGCAATCAAAATTGATAAAACGAATACTTGAATAGAAAAAAATAAGCAAACTCTTAGCAAACATTAATTAATAGTGATAATTCGATGAATAGTCATAAAATCTAAATAGTTTTTCCAAAATTCATTTCATCTGCATATCTTTGTATTGAGTAAAGACTAGAACTTTATCTTTTAATTGTTGACAACATTGAAGACCATTTGCGAATAAGACTAGTGCTTCATTAAGCCATGGAATCGAAATTTCAGCTTGAGAAATGTCAAATCTTTTCTCACCAGAACCATCTTTGTACATATGATATACAGCACAGACTAGTTTATTGGCTTGAATGTAAAAACTTATTGCCAAATCATTGGGTAGAGGTGGTTGAAGTGATTTCTATTCGGCAAATATCATTCAATTATTATTAATTTATACAATTTGATTTGTTTGTTGAATTGACTAACCATATTTGAACTTCGTTGTAATTCTTCGATGCTTCTTTTCTTGGGTACAATTAGACTTTTACGCCCTCGATCCAAACAAATCATTATATTGTTGATTAGCTAAAGTATTTCAAATATTCTTTAGAAAAAATTTATTTATAAATAATTTTGAAACAATTTCACCTCTATAACTTCTTCAGCGGTTTTGAAATCAAATTTTTTAATTTCATTATTAAATCGAAGCGGTGGCATATCCAAAATATTCAAAGCTGAAAGTAGATGATTTGAAGCATCCAAAATCTAAAATTATGATTGAAGATTTTCGAACGTTATACATTATGAAATGGATTAAAAAAATTACCTGATGAAGTTTCCATTGACAATCATTTTGTACGATAGTACGATGATTTACTTGAGGATGTTTATGAAGACGAATGTTGATATCCTTTATCAAATATAAACAATTCAGTTCTCATTTTCATCAATGATGTTTAAAATGAATATTTAGATTACCGCATGTGTTATATTGTCGGCAAATAATGTACATGAAACTTTTATCTGATCATTCATGGCATTATTCGTGCTAGCCAATATATACTTTTCCGTTTTGACCAGAGTTTCAATGTTATCAATGTGGACAGGAAATCGACGGCTACATTCCTTTGTTTTGATATTCACACAGTAATAAAGATTACAACTTTAATTTTATTAAAAATGACAGACTTACAACAATGATATTATGAATTTGTTTGATAATCCAATTCACTTCTTGTAATAGCCATTTAAATTCATCATTCTGTAACAGAAATTTTTTAAATTATTCAATTAATATAATCAAGAAAAACAAGACAAAAAATGCAGACCAAAGTCATAATTTCATCGCTGATTAGTGAGGCCATTTTTCAATGGATTTTGTTTTGATTTGTTTTATTCGAAATACTGAATTTTACAATATTAGTATTGATAAAGTTTTTTAATATTATAATTTTCATATTATTTGACTCCCTTTTGTATGTAACACTATCCAATAAGGATATTATTTTTACACAAGTATATAACGCCATTGTATATATAATAAGTTTGAGCATATATTATACCACCAACCAGATAGCTATAGGATACATCGATGTTAAAATGAATGAGTCTATTATATTGCACAAACTCATGATATATTCATTTTTCCTGGTTCGCTTAAAAACAAAATCCTTGTTTCATAAAAATAAAATCAAAAATTTAAAAAAAATCAATAAATTTTATTCAGATTTATCTTGAAAATATTTAGCAAATTCTTCGCCAATCATTTTAATATATTTAGGATCTTTATCTTTTAATGAAATACTAAAATTTAACACAATTTCTTTGACCATTATTAATGGATCCTGAATGGTTGATAATTTATATTTGATTATTGATTGGGCAAAATGACGAGCAATCGAAGTCATATAATCATCGGCATCCATACCAAGTAATAATTTTGTATCATAAATTTTTTGACAATATGATACACGTATCCAATGCTGTCCAAATCCTTTGGCATCGCTAATTACGTAAAGATTAATATCAGGTAAATAGACCATTGTAATGGTTGGACTATTGTCTGTTAATTTTATCTGACAATAATGACTTTTCATGATGATATATTTGATCAAAGAAAAAAAAATTCGAGTCTACACGTTTTTGCGATGATAGATGGAACCTTGAGGAGTTTTCCTGGAAACATTTGCGAAAACTTTACTGTTATTTTAGTAAACAATAAAGTTGTTGTAAAGAGGGAGAAAGATAGGCTTGGCAAGTGTCTCTTTGCGCTGTTGTAAATATTCAGTGTTCAAAAATCGAGCTAATTCGCTATTTTGATAAATATACCGTTGTTTCTTTTGAAGAATATTTTGTTCATTCATTATCTGCTAAATTTTCGTGATTCAATAAATATGGGTCTATTTGGTAAAGATCCAAAACAAACATCAAAAGAACAGGTTCGTGAATGGAATTCTAAGTTACGAAAACAACAAATGTTATTGGATCGACAAATTCGAGCCATTCAACGTGAAGAAGCCAAAGTTAAAGCCGAATTGAAAAAAGCAGCTAAACGTGGCGATCGTGATGTTTGCGTTATTTTTGCAAAAGAAATAATTGGTGCTCGTAAAGGGGTTAGTTTTTAAAAATTATCTTTTCAGTTTATTTATCGTTTCTAAATGTTGTTGATATTTTTAAAGATAAATCGTTTGCAGACATCTAAAGCACATTTGAATTCAATTATGATGAATATGACACAACAATTGGCAACATTACGTGTAGCTAATTCTTTGGAAAAATCCACCGATGTAATGCGTGCAATGCAAAATGTCGTTAAGATTTCTGAAATTTCCGGTGTCATGCAAGAGCTATCCCGTGAAATGATGAAAGCTGGTATTATCGACGAAATGATGGAAGAAACGATGGAAGATGCATTAGGCGATGAAGAATTGGAAGAAGAAGCTCAAGAAGAGGTTGATAAAGTTTTATTTGAAATCACCGATGGTGTACTTGGTAAAGCACCATCAGTAGTATCAGATTCGTTACCTGCCGAATCCGTTAAGGAGGCTCCTAAAAAAGCCGAAGAAGAAGATATTAATGAAATGAGACAACGGCTTGAAGCACTTCGAAATTGAAATTGTTGCAATTCAAAATTATGATTATTTAGGTTGATTTGTTGATTTTTTTGTAAAAAGATAATTTCTGAATCCCATAACTATACTAACTTTCTTCTGAATCACATTTTCGAAAAAAATCTGATTAATTTATATTACGATTGTTTATTATTACACTAAAGTGAATTATTAATTGATGATTAATTAATCGAATCGAGATTGATTTGAAACTTATGGAATTTGTATCTGCTTTGAATTATTTTCAACGTACGAATCTGGTCAAAAATCAAGCTCGTGTTTATGGACATGGTTTTTTTTGTCTGACATAAAAGATTTTTTCAATTAAATACCCAATCTGTTTTAAAATTATCAATAAATTTTATTTGAATGAAGATTTCTTTAACCAACAATCATGTATTTTATTTCTCCCAACCAAATTATTGAAGAGATTAGTAATTGCATTCAAATAATAATGAAACCGGACTCTATTAGTAATGATGAAAGAGTTAAGGCTAATTCACGATTAAATCATATATTAATCCATGATATCAATGAAAAAACCGATCTGTATTGCGATGTTGCCATGATATTGATTAATAAGCCGGAAGATATAACTGTCGCTAATGAATTTTGCATTGAAAATCTTGTCACTTATGGGTTTAAAATTCTAGAAGAAATTGTTAAATGTAATTGGTATCATTTCAAACATGATCGTCGAGAAACTATAAAAGAATTTTGCCTAGCAAGATTGGATTTCCAATCAAATATAGTCATGAAAGTTAATTTTTCAACATCAAATCTAATTATAAATTCTTGTAGTCGACTAATTACCGAAATATTCATGCGAGAATGGCCAAACGAGTGGCCCCAATTTTTACCGAAATTAATGCAAGAATATTCATTAATCGGTCTTTATACAATACTAAACATTTCCGATCATCTTACTAAATCCTCTTCATCGAATAGTTCTCGGCGAAGAGAAATCACCAAAAGTTTGGTCAATGAAAAAGAAAACATTTTGGATTTTTTTTGTCGAAATCTATCGATAATGGACTTCCAAAATGAATATCAGATGTCTATCGAATATAAAAAACAAATCCTTATGAGATCCCTTGAAGTACTTGATTCATTGCTAGAATGGTTTCCCTTAAACGAAAAAATCCTAATGAAGATAATATTAACTGCTAATTTGGCCGACTTAAATTTCGGTGATACATTCCTATGTCAAATAAAAGTTTTATCACTCCGATGCATTCAAACAATCATGAAACGTTCATTAAAACGACCCGAGGATATGATGGTGATGAACGATATCTTTTTTGATGTTAACGAATCAAAATTTGCTCATTTTTTAATTTCACAATTAAGTGCTTATTTCCATCTGATTAAATCATCTATGTCTAATAATGATTCATTCAACGAAGTCTTCATTTTATTATTGGATATCTCGATTGAAACAGTTTGTCGTGTCATAAATCTAATTAGTCAGGAATCTACACACAAATCAATTTTCAAAAACTGCAATGATAATAAATCATTCTGGTCAACATTCATGTGTTTCATATTCGATTGTCTTGCATATGACAACATCAACTTTGATGAAATTCTACTCAGGTTTTTGATAATCTATTCGAAATCGCTCGATTCTGAGCAAAATAGCAAAAATGTGGAAACTTTAAAAAACAAATTGATATTACCAGCTCCTTTGCAATCAGAAACAGCTATTCCGTCAAGATTGTTGATGTCGATTGCCTTTGGAAAACTGGAACCAAAACCCGAATCGATGTCACCAGAATTGAAAAATTCCTTTGATCTTGATTCTTATGAAAGCTATTTACAGATCTTTCGTGAAAACAGAAATAAATTTTTAACATTGATTAGAAATCTATGTCTCAACTATTCTCAAATCTCTCAGACATTTTTCTTTTCCATGTTGCGTGATTTGTTGGGACCCATTCCAGTTGAATTATCTGATCAAGAAGTTTTAACAACTGCCGCTGGCATCAAATCTTGGAGTACAGCTGCTGTTCTATGTCCTTTATTTATATCAAAACAAAATTTTTCTCCACAGGTTAGTTTTAATTAATTCTAAAATGAACCATTTTTATTTATTTGTTTTGAATGTAGCAAATAAAGATATTGGAATTTTATTTTTCACGAATGCTGGAAATTGGATTCAGTGGTCAGTTGGATATACAAAATCTAAATTCTCTACTATCATGTATGTCATCATTTTCACCATTCTACGAAACGTTTTCTGTTGAATTGATTCAAAAATTAATCGATATCATATTCTTATTGACTGTGAAAACAAAAGAACTACAATATGATCCAAATATTGGCGAACTTCAAAATCATTTAAATGCTTTATTCATTAAACTAACGAAAAATTGTGTGTCATTATTTTTGCCATATTTCAATATGATGCGTCAACATATTGAAGAATTGATTACCACTGATAAAATATCGTTAGTTCAATCATATTTTCTCTATGAAGGTTTATTTATTCTGAGCAACCATCTTTCCGTTGAAGAACAACGTATCTTTTTGATTGATCGTTTTCTGCCTCAAATCAATTGGATTATTACTTACGATTTTGGATCGAATGGAGAAACATTTTTTCTCGATCTTGGTTTAGCTACACAACCACAGCTGAATGTTAATCATTTACCATCAAATTATTCTAAGATTTTAGTAAAAATTTCTGCCTTATTGAATTTGCTGACACGTTTATTCAAACGAATCAATGCTGTTCGATGTTATGAAATTCTATGGCCTATAATGTTACATTTAGTAGCTCCGTTTTGTAAAGTTATTGCTTCGGTCCATCATCTTTGGTCATTATATGAACAAAAAAATCAGCATTTACTTGATCATTTATGTCATCCTTTTTATCAGCAATATTTATTTGAAGAATATCCTTCACATTATATTCTGATGAATTGTTTTGATCAATCAAAAATGCTTCCGGCAGATAAGTATAGAACATTATTGAAACAATGGGATCGACAAAATCCACCATCGCCGGATCTCATTGGTTATTTTATGCATCATCGAATCTGGTTATTGTATTCACAATCATTAATATTTCTCAATACGGCGCTAGAATTGATGTTATTTTTTTACACCAATTATCCCGTATCCGAATCTGCTATCGAAGATTTTATCTCCTCAAATAATTCACTAATTTGTTCAAATATGAAGTTCATGCCATTATTTGTATATCGTGATTTGATTCGATTATATTTTCAATGTTTAGCAAATTTTTCACCAAGAATAGAAAAGTTTCTAAATAATAGTGGATGTGTCGAAACATTGATTCAGTTTATCGAATTTATGTTTCAGAAAATTAACGAAAATTTTGATGCTTTGAATCAAGAAAAAAATGTCAACACTTCTGATTCGAATCCAAGAATTGCTAATCATTTGAAAATCAAGCCATTATCAGTCAAAGATGATCCTAGAAATTATTTGGAAATTGTTATCGAAGCTACTATTAATAGTATTTCAGCAGATTTTGTCGCACTTTTGAACAGTATATTTTCAAAACAAAAAAATTTTGACCATATAACAAAAAATGAATCTATAACGAATGAGATGGATGAAGAAATGAGCAATGTTGATCAACAACAACAAGCTAAAGACGATGAACTTGATATAAATGAGAATGACAATATGAGAGAATCCATTATAAATGACGACAAAAATGATGATAAATATGATGAAGAGGGTCTCCTATCAAAGTTTATTATGACGCGAAATCCAAAGGCTTTAGTTATGGTCGTCACGGGTTGTCTTTCATGGCCCAACAGTAATATGAAACTTCAGATTTGCAATGTTAATCAAAAATTGATTCAATGTCTCATATCTCGACAGATGATCAATTCAATTCAAGCATTTTTCGATCTAGCCACTCGTATATTGCAATCAATAACGTTGACCAAGCAAAGTGATTCCGATACATTGAATCGTTTGGCTAATTTATTGTTTATTATCTATGAAAATATTGTCATAAAAAACAATCTAACGGAAATTGTTAATGTTAAATTAAGCCAAATTTGTTCGATCGATTTAAATGACTGGAATCGTTTTAGTGATAGTTTTCGTCAAAAAAAGAATGCCAGCCAAATGAAAAACGCACAAAAAATGCTTCGAAACCTTATCGGGAGTTTATCCATGCACGAATTATCATCATTACATTCTATTAAACAATCAAATATCCTCTGTTTAGGCATGTTGAAAAGCGACAAAGATAATGATGTATCTGAGGATCTGGACACCGGATTTTTATGGCTATAAATTTATGGAAAATCCTTTTAGTTTCTCATTTTTCATAAATTTTTTAATTGATTTTTGTTTGTTTGCAGATTATTTTAATTATTTGTCAACTCGTATTGTGTAATAAAATAAAATAAAAAAATTTTAATCATGATTTTTGTGTTATTTTTTCTTATATCATTGAACATTGTTTATTCTCAATTTCAACCTGATCGTATCTAGTAAGAAAATTTTATCTTATTGAATTTTTCACTAACTTCATTATCATTTAAAATATTGGTAGCCACAAATGGGAACCTCGCAACAGAGAATCAATTAATTATGTTCCTCGACATATTTTCGATCCCTTAATTCATCAAGTGTAAATTTTAGATTATTTCAATTACTTTCAAGAATTTAATCGATTTTTTTACAGCCGTACGAAGAGATCTGCATCATCAAAAATTAGGGATTACACTAATAGTGGTATTGATACTTATTGGAACTACATTCAGGATTCATCAGAAAAAGGAAGTAATAAATATACTTCATTATTAGCGACGAAAAAACATTCGAATTTTCATTGTTATTCGGTTTATCGAACTGCAACTGATGATTGGTGTCAAGATAATTGTCAACTTGGTTATTGTCCAACATCGCATTGTATTTGTACCACGAGCCAACCTAAATTTGTAACATCAAATAAAGCTGTGAACTCCAAATATGTCTATGAATATGATGATAACGACGATAATGACGAACAACAAAAACAAACTGATTTCGAATCCTATCAATGGGACAGCAGTAAAAATCAATTGAGATATCAATAAAAATACCCTTCTTACTGAATAAACAAAAAAATAAAATAAAATAAAAACAAAATAAATGCATCATAAATGTGAATTTTTCCTAGACTCAGCAAAGATAGATTTCTCCATTCCCAATCAAATTAAATCAATTATTTTTGAAAACACATTAACAAATAAACACATCAATGTCGAAAATTTTCGAAACAGTTTTCATCATTATTATCCAATGATTAACTTATCGATTGATTGAAGCTAGATTCACCAATATAATATTACCATTCGACATTTTTTTTTTGCATTCATATCGTTTCCGAAAACAAAACACAAACATGAATATGCCTGAATCATTAGTTCTTTATTCAAAAATAGTCATGAAATGTATTTATTCAATGATTTTAATCAACAAAAAAATGATAATAATAATAATAATAATAATAGTAATTTCACTCGTGTTTGGATAAAGAATATTAATCACAAAAATTTAATATCTATTTGCTCAGAAAATATCACAGATATGGCGAAGTGTTGCGATGAAACCAATTATACCCGAATAATGATTATTATTCCGGCAGATTGTTTAGCCTTCTTTATAGCACAATATTATCAATCGGGAAAATGAAAGCTTATCTTTTGATGGCTGCAAATATTGATGTTTGTGACAACGTCAACAAATTGATCACTATGTTGTCCTGATAATTATAATCACCGATGAATATTATTATTGATGTACTGATGTAATTAACGATGGAGAGAAGATAAGAAACAATCATTCATTTGGAAACCGTTTAGCTGCAGAGGATTTATGCTTTGGCTGATCGTCGAAAGAATAGTTGAGAAAATCTTGACAAAAATTATAGATACCATCATAATTAGTACAACATCCAAGATAGCCGACGCTTCGATCAGATAGGAAACGTGCACATAATTCGCATTGATCCTTACGATGTTGATCAATTTCACATTTATTTTCAAGCTGTGAATTAATGATCCTTTCTTTTAGTTCTTCCGCCGACATTGATTCATTATTTGATGAATCGATTGGTGCACCAAATACATGTTGCATTTGACTGTGAATGATGGCGATGGTAATTATAATGACACACATCCGTTTATAAGCTAGTCGAATCATCTATTTTTTAATAGAAAAGCAGAAAATAATATTTATTAATGTCAATATGCAGATAATTTCCGATTATACCTTTGAAGTCGATAATAATTCCATTTGAGTTTAAATAGAAATACTTTTCTCTGTGAATGATGATCAAGAAGAAGAAAAGCAAATCCTACGTTTTGAATAAAACAGAAATAATAATGAATATGAAAATGTGGATATCATTGGAGCGACAATGCCAATTTATATATGCCAGAGACATTTTCTTTATCGGTCTCTTTAGGGGCAAAAAAAATTCAAAGTAATCAACATCAACATATCGCCACCACTATAGTTAATACGACCATCATCATCATCATCAGCAGAAGCACGATGTTATAGACAAGATTTGCCTAAATATGATGGCATCGTCAATGAATGTAGAAGCTGACAACACAAATCTTTCAGTAGTCGTCAAGCAATCCTATGTATTCTTCGACGAAGATGACGATGGTAATGATGATGATGATGATCGAAAAAAATAGGAAAAAGAAGATACATCAATGAAGAAATCATAACGTGTACGAAATATCGAGGTTAACATTCCAATGAATATTGTCTAAAACAACAAATACGAATAACAAAATTGTCTATGAAAATATTTGCAAAGTTATTTGAGAAAAAAAATGCAAACGTTGAATTTCACTGGTTCTATCTCAATTATTTGTTGCCAGGAAACAATGATTATTGTGTATGATTGACAACACCAGGAATAATCATCCATTTGTTCATTCATTTTTAGAAATTTACAATGATTGATTTTTTCAAAGAAATTATTGCAATAATTTTTTCATCATTACGATATCCCAAAATATATTCCACAATGCTGTGCAATTAGATGCTATATTTGTTTGTGAACAAATACCAGAAATTTTCAGTCGCCACATTCTCTCCGAACTAATTTTAAATTAAAAAAACATCTTATGATGAAATAGATTCCATTGATTTATTTGAATATAAATAGTGAATGAAAAAAATGAAGTGACTAAACAAAATAATGAAATCTTTCTTTGGATTTTCCATAGATCGATTATTCTTGTCCAAGGTAAGAGTTGGCAATGATCAATTGACAAGAAAAAAAAATCAAACTAAAGAGAATAATCGAAAAGTTTCGATTATTGCACATTTTAAAAAATCAATTTTTGGGAATTCCATCCAATGATATAAATTAAGATCGAATAATTGTATGCTTGGTAATCATTAGGAATAATCACCTATGATTTACATTGAAATAGTATTCATTCAAAGAAACAATGAGAAAACATCAACAACAACTACAACAAAAATACGTATCTACCTAGGAAAATTTTAAAATTTTGCCCTTTTTTCTCTTACATGACAGGCTTCAAAACGGGGCAAAAAATAGGCGTATTTCAACCGAAGAGAAGTTTGTTTGCTTGTCTATTATTTGCGGATAATAATGTTCTAGTGTGATAAATAAAATTGAACAAAAAAAATTATTTTTTACGATATTGAAAACGCTTTGTGAAGATATCGATTTCAGTTTTTTTTTTGATTTGATTATAAGAAATAAATTCAGCTTAATAAATCAAGGCCCATAATTATCAATGAATACACACATAATTGTGCTGCATGACATAGATTTGATCATTTTTTTATATTAATAATAATGAAAGTATATGCTAAAATTATGCATTGCCATAATTTGACAGTATACTGGACATATGAGGCTAAATTTATTTGAATCAATAAATCAATCAAATCAATTTGATTCGATTGATTGTACGCAACAATCTGATTTCAATTCAATCAATCAAAAGAAAAATTAATGGAAAACAGTGTGAAAAAATAGTACTTTTTATTGATTATTGTTGTCTTCATAGTCGTGGGTAACAAGATATATCTGAAAACACGCGCAATACACTGATAATAAGCATTAGTTGAACGTGTAACAATATGAAAATTAAAAAAAAAATCAATTCAGAGAATGGAAAAAATTATTTGGAAACCATATTATTTGATGCTCAACTTATATTATGATTAAAAGTTTAGAATAAACATTATGATGTTTTTTTTATTTAATCATTTCAACAATCTTTTACTCTTTCTCAGTTCAATAGTTTAAATATTTATTTTAGATGTATTTACCAGATATAATATCATTCGATCCGTAATTTTATCTAAGCACTGATAGGCGAAAAAAAAAATATATTTCCGCATTGAATTTACCAGACTAAAATATATTTTTTCAATAAATATATTTATATGGATTTGAACAGCGATCAGCCACTAAGAGCAAATGTGAAAGAAAGTGCAAAGTGAAAAAGCCTTCTTCCGATGGCAAAAAACGCCTGCCGAACGATCAATGCTCTCACAATTATCTACCAATCATATATTATTGTCAAATTTCATTGCCATCTCTCATTCGTGAACTTTCGAAATTAAAATTTTTCTTTATTTTGAATTGTTTGTATTTATCAAAAAAAAACAAAGTTTTTTTGTATTAACATTTTGTTGAACATCCGACCAATATTTAATTTACAAACACCCATGGGATTAACGTACAGATTTTACATAAATAAATTAGAAATAAATAAGTTTATTTTTTTGATCCTTATCGATGAACTTATTAACAAACATTATGATTAAACAAACAGTTTAATCATTTACATAAACGAAAAGCGGTTCGAACCAGTCAATAGCAGTCATCTAAACAATGTTTATTTGGTTTAGAATAATGGAAAATCAAAACAACCAATTATAATAAAATCAAATAACAAATCAATGTTTTTAGCCTTTTGAAAATGTTTATGATGGATAATAGCACATCAATAAAAATAATCAGACATTACAGTTCAATGAAGTAATAACCAACAAAAATGATTGATAAAATAGAGAAAAAAAGAAATTCTCGGATTCCGAAAATGGTCATTTCATCGTATTTCTTCATTTTCTGTTTTGTTCAATGCATTCACTTCTTCATAGCAGACATAACAAATTACAATTATTGCATTATTGATGCTGGAATTTGTTTTTTTCCGTTTTGTTGTCACCATCGAAAACTATTGGCAATAAATTTTTTTTTGGCATCAAAAATGTCGTTTTAAATATTAAATTCAAATTTTTCCTAATTATTAAATGAGACACACGAGGGCGTTGATATAAATATAATTTTTTTTTATTAAGGTTGTTTTTATTTGCGAGTTGGGACATATTTTTCAGGAATTTTGAATGATTCTAAATAAATTTATTGATAAAGAAAATTTCATTTTTTTATCAATGGCCACAAGTTTATTCTATGGTTCTGTTGCGAAAAAAATATTCACACGAGCATTCATAGCTGCTTATAAAGATCGTGATATTAACCATAAACAATTGGCTGATTGGATTAAATTAAGTCTTTATTTCGAAGATCCTACACGTACATTAAAGCCCGGTATGCTATACCATCAAACGATACCTAGATATACAGAACTTTTTCAAACTGGCCTTTGTATATTTGCATTTGGTTTCTACGTCAAACAAGTTCGTGCATTACAAAAATATTGGCTTCATGAATGGACTGTAACCGCAATTCTCGGCAGACAGACAATTGATAATTACAGCCGTTCAATTTTGATTGATTGTCATGATGTCTCAAACATCGCTACTGATTTAATTGAAAATTCCTTGCAAAAGTTTGTTGGTATTATTGAACAGACCGGACCTGGACATTTACATGAAAAAACACAACCTGTTGATTGTGAAGAGTCGAATGCTTATGAACAATACCATGACAATACACCTCGATTGAAGACCTGTTATTCGATCGAACTTCTTGACAGGCAAGATCGAGAAGTCAAACTTCGAATTAAATCTGATGGGTTGTTTAATTGTCGGTCATTTGTTAGAGATTTAGGTTTCTATCTGAATTGTCCTTCTTCAATCGATTCGGCACACCTCGACAAACTTGGACCAGTGCAATCAGGACAGTCATTGCAAAAACATCAATTGCATTACGAACAAATGGTCAAATCAGCCGAAGAAATAACTCCCGCATGTATTGAATATTTAAAACAATTACGGCAACAATATCCTGATGCAAAAAGTTCTGGTCGTTTTATTTAGTTTTCATAAATTTTCTCAAAAAATTCTGTACATTTTGTTCAACAATTTAATTTTATTAATAAATTCATTAAAGTAACAGATTTAACAATTTGAGGGAATATTCATAACCAAAAAAACAGGCAGCATTGGCAGGAATAGCTCTCACAAATACTGGTGCAGCTCCTTTATAGAATGCTGACAGACCGTTTCTTGTATAAAGATAACGAATTGCATCACGAAAACCGTTATATTTGCCTTCAGGTGCTGTCTGTATTCGCGATTTTATTACATCAGCTGGAATGGCTATAATCCAAAATGATATGCCGGCAAATCCACCGGCTAATAAGGTCACAAATGTTTCGTTTTCGGTGTTGAATAACATATTTCCATGTCTTTTAATATATTCATAGCCCAAAAAATAGGCTCCACTTCCTGGAATATCTCTTGCGAACGTGGCTGTTAATCCAGTAAATATTGAACGTATTCCACCAGTAGCATATACTTTACGGGTACAATCCCAAAAACTTTTATATTTGGCAACACTTTTTGAACCTTGTTCTATTTGCATCAAACATTTGATACGTTCAGCCGGTGCATTTATGGTGGCCGTGAAAGCTCCGGCAAGCATACCAGCTTTATACATTTGAAATGGAGTTAGCTGATTAACGGAGGTTGGTGAACCATCACTTTGTAGGCTAACACCCAATCCAAAACCAAAAAAACATACAGCATTGATGGGTGTGGTGGCAATCAATGGTGCCATCATTCCACGATAAAAACCACGCAAACCTTCATGTCGAAAAGTTTTATTCATGCAATCAAGCATTCCTTCATATTGTGGTGCTTGACCAGGTTTCGGTGTTGGCATTGTTTGAATTCGAACCTTAATCGTATCCATTGGATGGCCGGCCAGAATGAGACAAACGCCACCAAAACCCCCAGCTATGAATTGTTTTAAAGATGCTAAATAATTAGCCATAACGTCTGTCGATTCAATCACATCCGAAGTTTTTGACATTGTTATGGTGTTAATGTTGATTTGTTTTTAAATGTTATTGTTTTATTTTGCATGTTATAAAAAAAACTAGAAATTTCAAAAATCATATGACGGATTCGAGGTGAATCCTCGTGCGTGAATCAGTCATATCTCGTCATTTGTTTGTTAAGAATGATGAAAGCTAGAATGAATGTGTCAATGTATTTTCATTACAATACAATGTAAAAATAACACCACATGCACACGGATACAAGATTTAATGTTTATATCAGAAGCTTACGATCTAGTGCACAGTAAGCGCTTTTCAAAAAAACACGCCAGACAAAAAACCCAATATCTTTAGTTTTACTGTGCTACAAGACAAATTGCAAAGTAATCTTTCTGGTCTAACAAGTAGTTCTTTTTCAATGCGATAATTTTTTGATTTTTAATGAAGATGATTTCGGTTGGAAACTGGACAAATACAAAAATAAATTTTATTTTATTTCTTGATCAATTTTTATCATCAGTAATAAAGTGTTTTAGATGATTGAAAGCCGTTGAATTAAAATGCCCCTATCCTTTATCGTTTGATCTAACATACAAAAAACTGGATTGACTTTTTGAATAATTTTGCTTAATTTTTCAATATCGATAAGATCTTCTTGGTCGTTCTGTTTATTGTCACTGGTTGAATCGTCGAAATATTCATGTGACAATAATGACAATCCGGTAATGCCGAAAAGAGTATGGAATGGATCGACCATATTACCTGGACGATCAGAGAAACCTCCAGTCTCGTTATCTTGACAAGCCATGATAAAACAAAGTAATTTTTGTTTATTTATCCAATGAAGACGTCCAATAATTGCCAAAGATGAAAGTACCCACCATGAATAACATAGATCAGGTAATTTTTCTGGACGACCATTTAGACCTCCTGAAGGTAGTTGACGTTCAGCTAGCCACCATCCTAATCTATCCGCATCGATTCGATGTAATTGACCAGCAATTGATAATGATCCAAGGCAGCAATAAGTAAGACCGGAATGAGATTCGCTGTTGGGACGGCAGCCAAAAGCACCATCAATTTGATTATAACATTTCATGACAAAATCTATAGTTCGATCCAGATCAATAGCATCCAATCGTTTGAGAAGAGCTAACGAAGCAATCGAACAGAATGTGAATCGAACATCTACTTCACCCCAATGGTCACCATTAAAACTACCATCTTCGTTTTGTAATGACACAACAAATTCAACAGTTTTGTTCACATCGATGATGCTTTCTTCTGGATCCGATGATTCTAGATTCACACCGAATGAAACTAAAATCTGGATTGCACTTAAAGTGTATAAAATATGAGGATCATGTCTGGGTGCTGCTGATATTCCTCCATTAGAATGTTTACAAGAACGTATTAGCTCGATTATTTCTTGTCGGACATCTGTGCGAAATATTTATTAAAACATGATAAAAAAATTCAACAAATAAAAATACCATTTTCAATGGAACTGTCAGCTAATTTAAGGGCTGTTATTGTCCAATAGATTCCATTCATTTTAAGATATTCGACCATGATCTGTTCATAGCTATTATCTTTATTTTTTGCATAGTTGTTCAAAAATTGAACATGTTTATCGAGAAAAAATTCTTTTGGAGAATCGGGTTTTAATTCTACATCACGAATCAACATTTTTGATCGAATTATTTTCACTGAATATAAATGGTCATGAAAAACAAACAAAATTTATTAAAATTAAACATCAACCACATTTGTAAGATATGATGAGGAGTGTTAAAATCAATTTAAATGCCATCTAATGGGCAAAGATGGTAACTATTATCGAACTGTTATTGTTCATAATTGCTTATCTTCATCACCGCATTTTACTATTTTCGTTACAATCCATTTATAATTATCTTCCGAAATTGGTCAAAATGTTCTTCAAATTGATGTTGATATGTGGTCTTTGTTCGCTTTTTCATGCTGCTTTTTCTGCAGCTCAATATCGAAGTTATTTACGTGTTTCGGAACAAAAATTCACTGGTTCGTTGCCCATGGATATTATGATACAAGCATTCGTTAGTCTTTTGGTAACATTATATTCGGTGGTATCTATTTATTGTAATTTCAAAGTCATTTTCGCTAATGATGATTTTGCCAATAAAAGTTATGGCCATGTGTTTTCCACCCCTCCTTCTTTGGTTACATTCAATCATAGGGGACGAATTTTAACATCAAAACAGTCTTAAATGATATCCATTTCATTGAATTCCAATTATTATAATATCAATTATTCTATTTAAATGTATAAATAAATCATTTTAAACAATAATTTTTTTACAATGAAGATTTATTTTCCAGAATTTTCGTTAACATCAATTAATTCAGATGTTAAAATATGATGAATCATATTCGCCAAGGATTCGTCATATATGAAGAGGTGAAAAGTTCTTTGAGGCTCAATTTTTCCGCGCTATCACAGGACAATTTTTAATTTTTTCAAAATTGTTTTGAGCAAAATATTCAACAACATAAAAATCATGGTGAACTTCTTTATTCCAAAAATAAAAGTTGCTGAATTTGATCAATCTCGTGATGAATGTGAACAATCTATAGAAAAAATCGAACAACTTATAGATAAAAATAAGCTAACTATGACGGAACGACGAAATTTCAAGAAAAATATAACTGCTCTGGTTTACGATATGAAAAACAAGCTGAAAAAATGCGAAGAGAATTGCAATGGACTTTTGAAAAATAATGATTCCGATCGAAAAGAAATGATGGCTAAAATTTCTAAAGAGTTACGACGTTCTCGTTTGCAAGATTTGAATTGCGATGTTGACATAATTAAAAATCAATCAATCGATAATATTACTCTTGATATGGTTTCATTGACGATACTCAAAAAAATATGAATTAATGATATCATTCACTTTCAATGAATCAGTAATGTTTTTTTGTTTGTTTGACAAATCAAACCAGAATGGCATTTTTACTACTTGAAAAAATCGAATTAATCTAATTGAATTGAAACATTTTTTTTCATTAATTAAATTCATTTTTTTAATATTTTTTCTTTTGATAATTTTTTTTTCGATCAAAATAACAGAGAAAGAGAGAGGATGATGAAGAACAATTGATAATAATAATAATAATAATAATAATAATAATAATTGAAAAATGTTTAGCGATAATTTCTGTTCAATTATTGGGTTGTGTCGGAGCACATCATCATTCAGTGTCTATATTTATTGGTTTTTTTATTCGTTTTTTAAAATTCTGTTTATTGTATGGGTGGTGTTTTGTTGTCCTGAAGAAATATTATTTATATAAATATTTATATAGAGCAAACTTATTTTACAAAAAAAATCATATATGAATGAAGAAATCTTGATGATGATGAAATTAAATGAATGAATGAATGAATGAACAAACACACGAAATAAGGGAAGAAGGATCTAAAAACACGCAAATAAAATAGAATAAAACATGTCCGCTTATTATATAGATAATCTTATCAATATTTTAGCGCTTTTGAAAAGATCAACAAACAATTCTTTAAGCAATTTAAAAGGCGAATGTGTTAGTTTTTTTTTGTGTGTGTGTGTGTATGAATAAAAAGGAAAAAGGATGTGGGGTATGTTATTAATATTTTCACCTATTATATAATAATCAATAATAATAATCATTAATAATTTTAAATCATTAAAAATTTCAAACAAATAGTAATTTGTCATTTTGCATGCATGAATGTGTGTGAGTGTTTTTTTGAAATGATAATGATGATAACGAATTAATATAATGATAATGTCCAATTATGGTCAATCAACAATGATAATGATGAAGATGAAAGAATAATATTTCTACAAAAGAAAAACAGAGAAAAATCCAAATATTCATTCATTCAGTGCAAAAGTAAGTTTTGTGGTTTGTTAGAGCATAATGAATTTCAATTAAAACGTTAAACATATACAATGAAATAAAATGAGTGCGGATGTGTTTTTTGAGAAAGAAATAAAATAAAATCACAAAATAAATGATAAAAAATGAAAAAACGACTGAAAGTTGAGAGTGAAAAGAGGTGTTTGTGGTCTGAGATATAATGAAGACAAAAAAAAAGAAACGAAAACAACAAAACACAAAATTCAGCAGAATTGCAATTCGTTTTTTTCATTTAGTTTTTCTTGCGCATTTATTATGAAATTTTTAAAGATGATTTTAACATTTATTCACTGAATAACCCTATGGATCAGATTTATATGGCAAGAGATGAAGATTGAATAAAAATAGAGTAATGATTTGGATGAAGAGATTAAAAACAATGAATTTAAACAAAAACAATTAAATTAGAACAGTGAAGATGACGATGATATTGAAATTCGATCAATGTAGACATTTCGTGATTTATTGTTTTTTTTTCGCAGAATTCAAAATAATGGTAATTGATAATGTAATGACAACGAATCCTATATATCACATGAAAACAATTGAGATTTTGGATCTGTTTCCGGAAGTTGAAAACAAATGTTGCCTTGGCAATTTCATGCATGATTCGTATGAGGAAGTGAACGATAATATTAATGTCTAGATGAAAGTTTTGAAAACTAATGATTCCATTTTTTTTATTGATAGGTCGAACACAATAAATGAATGTTTTCAAAATAAATGGAAGGCTGTGATAATTTCGTTGATATTACGAATGTTAATGGTGATTGTGCTAAAAAACTTTTGCACATCGAATTCTTATACTCGGTAATCATTGCTCAATTTTGACTGTGGCAGCAGGAGCTGTAGCTGCAGCCGCGGTCGTTGTCGTGACTGAATCATTAGAAATGTCGGTCAATTTTCCAACATTATTGTCACCTGAAACTGCTTGAATATTACTGGTTGATGAAGATACCGTCGATTCATTTGGATCATTCAATCCAGTTTTGAGGCTAACTTCAGAAGATGTTTGTTGCAGCTGCTTAGGCGATGATAATGAGAATCGTGGATTTGAGCTAACTGAACTCGATGAAGGAGATGCCGCCATGTGGGATTGTTGAGGAACATTGCCACCACTTGTACCACCGCTGCTGCCTACAGATGATGTTGATGCTTTCAAATCGGCTGATTGAGATGGATTGCTTACGGCTTCGCTGCCACCACTGGCATTAGCCGAAATTGATGTCGAAGTTGAAGGAGCTGGATCATTCGTGGTTGAATCGATCAAATCACGATTGTTGGTATTATCGATTATATATTCAGAAAATTGTGAATGTAGATGTGGGGGTATAAGAATCGAGTTCAATTCTGGTGCTATTTTAAGCTCTATTTTAATAAAACGAAAAAAATGTAAAAAATCGGAAATTTGGAATTTTTAAAAATTACCTTGTTCAGTGAAATTAAACAGTGGTGGTGGTTCTCGATCTTGCGGCAACCGGTAATTCGGGGTTCTCAATTCATCGAAGAATCGATGCGTACAGCATTTCAAAGGATCAAGACGTAAAAACGGCGTATAATCGAGCAACTTAGAAATAAGATCAATAACTTCAGGAGGAGTTCGAGCTCCAAACACCTGAAACAATTATGAATATAATTTTAAAGGGAAATAATGTGAGAAAAACTTACGCGATCCCATGGATTCGGAGTAATTTTCGGAAATTTAAATTCTGTATAATTTTTATTCATACGCCTGATTTGATCTTTCGAAGGGGTGCCGAGTATTTTGATGATTTCTACTAATTGATCGACACCAGATTCACCTGAGAATATTGGATATCCAAGTAATAATTCAGCGAAAACACATCCAGCGGACCAAATATCTGATGAATTAGAAAAAAATTGAAGAATTGATCAAACATTTCACGATTATTATTACAAGCTGAATTTAATTTACCTATTTTTGTTGTGTAATCAGTGGCACCAAAAATCAATTCTGGTGCTCGATAATATCGAGAACAAATATATGATACATTCATTTCGCCTCGAACCAAATGTTTTGCACTATACCATTAATGGAAGTTTTGAATTCGATAAAATTCACAAATTAAAAAAAAAAGATTATTAAACAAACAAAAATATACAAATTAGATTGCTGACCTCCCAAAATCACAGAGCTTAAGAACGCCATTCATCGGATTGACCAAGAGATTCTGTGGTTTAATATCTCGATGGCAGATGCCCAATGAATGTATATATGCCAATGCACGGAACAACTGATACATATAAAGCTTTATCATATTCATTGGTATTTTTGTTCCTTGTCGCATATAATATCTAGCAACTTTGGAAACTGTATCTGGTATGAATTCCAATACCAAATTCAAATATATATCTTCTTTTTGTTGCTATTATGATAAACAATGATTGAAATGACCATCATTATTATATGACAAAAAAACTTACATTTTTGTGTGTATAAAAGAAATATTTTAATTTAACAATATTGCAATGATCTAATGAGACCATGATGCTTAATTCACGATTTTTGAAACGACGATCCTGAAGAACACGTTTGATGGCGACCACTTCATTTTCTTCCAATAATGTTGCCTGATAAACAACACCAAACGAACCGTTTCCAATCATTTTTTCATTTGTATACGAAATATCTTTTGTATAGTATTGATTTTTCTTTCCGACCGATGCCTGTACGGTTTTGATTTCGACACCATTTCTTGCTGTAAATAAAAAGATGATATTTTTTTAAAAATCAATCAACTAATTAATAAATCAAAATAAATTTTGATAATTCCCACCAGTTATAGTAATTTTCACTGGACAACAAAAAAGCTCATCATCATCATCATGTTTATCATTATTAAACGATGTTAAAGCTCCGAATCGTTTAATTGATAGACAAGTATCTTTTCTACCCGAAATGTTTTTATTGTCGCAATTTTGCTTATTATTAATTTTAACATCATTTATTGACGATGATGATGATGTTTTCTTATTATTGGTAAATGTTTGACAAATTTTATTCCAAAAGGAATATTGAAAACGATCAAATGATGATAAATGTTTGGATGTCGACGACAATGTTGATTGATCAAAATTAGCCATTTTGTAAAATTGAAAAATAACAACAAAATTATGATGAAAAAAACAAAACTTTTCTAACACTTGGATTCTTGGATCTTTTTTTTCATCCAAGTGTGTCTGTGATGACAATAACAATCAAACTAACCTACCAACAATAACAAAAAAAAACAATAATTCTGGTTTTTGTTTCATTCAGACTTTTATATATAAACTTTTTTTCTGGTACTGTGCCTTCTTTTTATCCAAGAATTTTCCTTGTTTGTTGACGACAGAAGCAATAACTAATACAAATAGGTAGACACAATCCACACACTAACATGACAATCATCATCATCATCAGTGATTGCCTAACAACCAAACCGAATAAATTCGCCTTCTGTTCATTTTTATTTTCTCATCTTTTCGTTTCGTTTTTTGTTTGTTTGTTATAGAAGCCAGAAAAAATTAATGCTTTTCTTCATTATCTAAATGGTGAATATATGATATAACAAATCAAAAAATTAATCACGCAGGAAAAAAGGTACACAATATATAAATGAATGCCAAGACTAGAGACAAAATTGAGAAAATAAAGACAATTATCATTATTTTATTATAATAAGAAGAAAAAAATGATTCTGAAGAAGTGAAATTCTTTTCCCCTTTTTCTCATCATCAATTAAAAACTAATAAATGAATGAATGAATGAAAAAAAAGATAATAAACAACCGAATCTAACTGTAATTTGTAATTCAAGCAGCTCAAAAAAAAGTTAAAGTGGATAGTGGGACAAACAAAAGATTATTATTCTCATTATTTACTCATCATCATTTAGATATATATTCCAATTGAAAGATAATATGAGAATAAAATTCTTATAACCTTATACACTTGAAACTTTTCTATTTCTTTGCTGTTGTTTATAATGCAATGAAATAGATAAAACATCTCGTGATTAAAAGCGATAATGACAAAAGATTCACAAAATGATGAAAAAAGTATGTTTGTTGTATCATCATCTTTTACAATCAACAACAATTCAAGTAGATAAATTAATTCTAACAAATTTGAAAGAAAACATTCAAACAAATAATAAATGATCAAAATGTGTTCAACAACAACAAAAACAACAAACAATGTTCGTTTGTTTTTTTCAATTGTAAATTTCATTATCAAGATTTAGAGTTAAATAATTTTCCTAACAATTATCGCACATAATCAATGACAAAGAATCATTTATCATATATGACAATTTCATCATTATGATCATGATCATCGTCATACGAAAATACCAATAACCTGTATTGGTGATCGATTTCCAAGGACAGTTTTAACATCAACGATTAATCTCTCTCTCTCTCTCTCTCTCCATTAAATATGTTGGGAAGAGGTATTTTTGATTGGGAAAAAATTCACATCCAATCATTATTACCTCTACACAAAAATGAATAAATAGACAATTGATCAGGTCATGATGATAAGGATGACAGGCCAGCATCATCATCAATTTAATAATAAACATCATATCAATCATTGCCATAAAATAAATGTGAAATATTCATTGGTTTTTTCTAGTTGATAAAATTAACGGTAAAAACTTACTCATTGTTCTTATATGGCTAACAACCAAAACGGCAGGATCAAATTTCATCATTCTCGATGAATTTGTATCTTGATTATCTTCATTCATATTGGCATCCATGTTTATTGTTGTTGTTGTTGTTGATTAGTCGATTAAGAATGATGAATTTTTTTCAGTTTTTCACATAAGATTATTGAATTTAAACAAATGACCTTTTTTCTTGGTCCTGAAGATAAATACTTCAACAACAAATAACAATTATTATGGATGATAGATCAAATGTAATAGAATGACTAGGACTGAATGTATTAATGAATCGATGAGAATTGATAAAAAGTTCAAAATTTCAATACAAATAAAACTGGTGACAATGATTGCAACTTAAAATTAAAAAAAAAATCTTTTTCCAGCGCAGAATGAATGATGATGATGATGGTGATGGTTGAAAAAAAATCACAGCATAATTTTGTCGAAAATATGAAATGGATATTTTAAATTTGATGAATGATTTTTGTTTTCTTTCTTTTTTTTGTTTCCTTTTTATTTAAAGTCAAAATATTTATTTTCGATGATCGTCGTTGATTTTGTGTAAACGTTTGTTCCAAATATTCTGTAAGAAATAAATATAGGTACAAAAATTTACATGACATTAGATATTTGTTCGACATTAATGCAAGTTAACAAAAGAAACCACACATCTGTAGCACATGAATTGTATCCGAATGTTTGTGTTTTTTCTGATATATGTGTGTCATTGTCAATGATATATTACTATAGGAAAAAAAAATAGACATATATTTTTTCCTATTTATTCTACTAATTTTTTTCCAAAATAAAATCAAACAAATAAGATTGGTGAAGAGCAAAAAAAAAAGTTCAATAGAAACTCACTTTTCACCATTATAATTTTTTTTCAATATAAATATTGGAATACACAATTACAAGACGACAATGACGTATAAGGCCTTTGTTAATAAATGTTTATGAAGATGCTAAAATAAAAATCGTATGTATGAACAATTTTTTCATTTTTCTATATATAAACAAAACAAAATTCTTTCTGTTGCCCAAACATATAGCTCAACGGTGGTGGTTAACGAATTCAAGTTATATATATGCGTGTGTGTTTTATGCATTAATATTCTTTAAGTTGTATTATAAAATCATATTCGATCCAGAGCTATAGGAACTAACTGTTTCTTATTGTTTAGCGCATGAATGTAAAATTTGACTATAACAAACAAACATCATTCGAGTTTCGATTCCCTCCTCGTCTCAGAAAAAAAAACAAATCTAAATGAATAAAGATATCAAGGTGTACAAATTGATTAGTTTCATAATAATGATTTAATCTTCTATCCATTCCTATCCAAAATAATTTTGGATTCTTATTTGATTATTTATTTGTCATGTGTGAATGCTCGTGTACACTAACCTGTATAAAATTTTTTTTCAGTTTTTGTTGATATATCCAAAAGAATCAGTCAAAATCGCATTTATATGGTGCGATTTCTTATTTCATTCGTTTAATTTATAAGTTGAAAATTCAAATTATTCGTCGTCATTTCATTGTTAGTTTGATTAGTTTTATTGCGTACACACATACACACACAGAGACACTATGAAAAAACTGTCGAAATCTCTTGTATTATCAATCAAAAAAAAGCAAGAAAAAAATACACACAAAGATGATTAGGCAAATAAAACTATCATCATCATATAAGTCACATGTTATAATAGGGCAAATGCATTGCAGAAAAAAATTCTCTCAATGATGATGATGATGATCGGTGATCACTATTTTTTTCACTGTTATCGTTGATGGGCGTCTTCGTTTCTTCCCGAATAAAAAAAACTTCTTTACATACTATGAAGATATGGGATTATGTTTCGTTCTTATCTTTAAAAAAATAAGAAGAATCGATCATCGTTTCTAGACGATTAAAATTATTATTTTTTAGAATCGAATATCATTAGACATTTTTCTCATTGATTGATTGATTGATTGATCATTGAATGACAAAAAATTTCGATATTCAATTTGTTTTTCGAAATGTAAAATCAAATTTCAGGATTTTGGTAGCGTAATTTCCCATCGATAATATATTTGTACATTTTTGAGCATCATTATTTTTAGTGGGTATCATAACGGTCATTGTCATAGGCAAACTTTTAATCATCATAATTTTGATTGATAGTTGTTCTTTGATAATTAAATTGTCCAAAAAAATTGTTTTATTTTTGTTCGATGAACATGAGGAAGAGAAAAATAAAATAAAAATTAATAATCATAATAATTGATAAAATAATAAAATACCATATGATGAATCATTCCAGATTGTAGCAAGAAATATAACGAAAATAATGAATCAATAAAAAAAAACAATTTTAACAATGATGATTGTACATATTATATATTTTCCCAATTAATCCTTGATGAACATATGAAAATTGAAGAAGCTACAAAAACAATTATCTTATATGGATTTGATTCAGAAACAAACAAACGAGCGGAGAAAAAAATCTGAGTGGAGCAAACAGAAAAAAAATGAGAAAAACAAGGTGAATATTATTAATTATGAATATTAATTCAATTCTTTAGAGACGCTTACGCACATTGATTTATGGATGGTGGTGGCGATGGTGAAGGGGAGGGTTTGAATATATACGTATTGAGAAGTGAAAAAAACGATTCATTTGCTATTGGAATTGGATTATCATAAGCACAGATAAACAAATTTAACACTCATAATATTCACCTTTACAACAACAAAAACACAAACATCATTTCACAAGGAAAAAACATCATATTTGTTTCTATGGTTAGGATGCAAACAGATCAACGCATGAATATCAATCAATGAAGATAATGATGATGAGTTGATTGAAGACGGAGGAGGAGTTGAAAAGGAGATGAATTTTTTCTAATTGATTTCGTATTCTGTTCTTGATCTTTCACACTTTTTCCTTTGCTCTCTCTCTCTCTCTCTCACTTTTTTTAATCACTCACACAAACGGTGAGTTTGGTATTCAGAAACATCACCATCATCAACAGCATGTGATAAATTCAGTTTTAGTTTTAGAATCTAACAGTTTCAACTGTAATGGATACATAAAAAACAATATTGATTTCAATAATACATGGATAAACACTCACACATATAGAGAACCCAGATTTATTGAAGAAGGAAAGAAACAAAATAAAAAAAAAATTCGGCTAGAAGCACATGAAATGTAGATAAAAAGAAAACTGTGAATGTTGTCGTCGTAGCTGATTGTTTGCGTGTGTGGGGGGAGGGTTGACTGAAAATGGTAATTTAGTTTAATAATGATGGGAATCCCTCTCTATTCATCATATATAATACGAAGATATAGCACTTAATTATATAAGCGGGCGCAGTTGTATATATACACACATTTATTTATGAGGATGAGGATTCAACTTATCTATACTTTATGAATATAAAATGGAACAGCAACGATAGGAGAAGTAAATGTTTATGTTGTGGAAATAAATGAGTGAGTGAGTGAATGAGCGTGTAAAATACATAACTATTCCAACGGTGTCGACAATTGACGCACACATGCATGTTGAATATGTATTAGTGTTAATGGAAAAATTCTGTTTTTTTTTGGCTAGGGCCTAATTTTTGGGTTAGAATTTTTTCACTAAAAAATTGAAAATCTTTATCAGAAACTTTTTGGTAAATTGGTGATATTTTCCTTGTTAAAATCCCGGGAATCTATTTAGATTGGTTTTTCATTGTTCGATACAGTAACATCCCAGATCATGACGTAATACATTTTGTTCCCAAGATAGTCATCGGTTTATCAAAGCTGTCTTGAACCGAAGTACCGCTGTATTTTCCAAAAAAAATTAGGATACATGCGCAATGAATTTTTTGGTAAAGATAATGATTTACATTTTTGTGAGCGCAATATTTGATGTGAAAAACAAACAGAATTGATTCGAAAATCTAATTGATTATAATTATTTGACAGAAGGAATTGTTTCTGAAATAATCTAATTTCGATTAAATAATAATGTTGGAAATTAATATAAAAATGCTATTACCATTCAAAAAGGAACGTTTGTTTGTCGCTGACAATTCGTTTATATTCGGGTTATGGACGATTTATTTCGAATGTTTCGAGCATCGAAAACTTATATACATTCATCGAATAAACAGCAGATGGTCAATTGTAAAGATGATTTGAATGCGGAGAAATCGACAAATATAATCGGACAAAACTCTATCACAACGATCAAAATTCCTATTAATAGTTCAACATCATCATCATGGTTGAATGTGGATAGAAATGTATACAATAAATGGTCATTTCCTAACAACAATCAATGTAATCACGTTTCATTTGAAAAATGGGAAGAAATATGGAGTACAAACATCAAGGAACGAGCATCAACATTAGAAGGCGTCGTATTTATTAATCCAAATTTTGCTCGTCTTTATTTTGTACCATCGATTGCATTTCATTGTGAATTTGATGAATACAATGAATATCCAGCAGCTAATCTGCAAATATTGACGCATAAGGGTTCTGATTATCATGATAAATGGATGAGAACGATGATTCAACCGACATCATGTTATATTTCAATGCATTGTTGTTATGTGACTGAAATTATTGATCGTTACTGTATACGTTGTCCACATCTGTCAAGAATAAGTTTCCATTATTATCATCTGGATGATGAAGTATTTGATTTTATCACACAACATCTTCCTCGATTAGTATCAATTAATTTTGAAAATTCAATCGGTTTGAATGTAAAATCGATTGCAAGATTAGGCTCAATGTCTAGGCTAATACATTTAAATCTTTCTGGCTGTGATATCAATGAGGAAACATTAAAATCTATATTGGATAATTGCACAATTTTAGAATCATTGAACATCAGTAATAATTGTTTAATAACTGGCCATTGTTTAACACATTCTACAGTGAAAAATTTAAAAAGACTAAACCTACAGGATTGTTGGCGATTGAGATCCAGACGATTGATCGATATGGTTCGCTTTTGTTTGCCAAATTTGATCGAAATCTTATGCAACAGTGGTATAGATGATAAATCATTGAATGCCATCACTTCAAATTGTCCCAATATCAATCATCTGGACATTAGTTTCGAAGAATTCACCTATTATGATGAATCTGGTCTAAACTGTCTGACCGATGTTGGATTTTCTTCAATTGCTCGATTGATACATCTAAGGATATTGAGTTTACGTCATGTTGGACGAATAAGTGATAAATCTCTAAACGAAATAATCAATTCCTGTACAGAATTGATGCAAATAATCCTGAATCTTAGACATCGTCATAAATTGACCGATGCTCGAGCATTACGCAATATTGGTACATCATGTCAATATCTAGTCTATTTCGAATCTGTACACAATCATTTTATTGCCAAAAATTCAATCGAATATCTATCAACATTGACTTCAAGTCTTCAAATATTAATATTACGTGGAGATGAGTTTATCAGAGATGATGAAGCTGCTTTATTGCTTAAAAGATGTCAAAATCTTCGACTTATCAATTTAGATGGATGTACGGATATCGGTGAGAATACATTGGCATCTTGTATTGTTCATGCACGTAAACTATTACGAATTGAGAATGAAAATGCCATGAAAATATTTCAAGCCAGTCTTGTGATGACTGGTATTGAACGAACATTACTTAATTCATTTGTTAATGAATTTCCTGTGAATCTACGAATTCGAGCCTGTGATTATCGACGAAATAAAGTTCATTTCAATGAATTTGATGGAACCGAGATTGTCGAATGCCAATTAAAAGAGAAATTTTTTCCATTCTATTGGCATGATTTTAATTGAAATGAATTAGAATAATAATTTTTTTTATGAAACGTTATAGAAAAAAACTCAATTCTCTGTTATAAATGTTCTATTTTTTAAGGTTTGAAAAATTTGGAAACAATATTTCAACTCACCAAAAATGTTGCTCTTCTTGGGTGTATATAGCATAATTTTATTTACTCGTTTCCTTTCTCACATCATCTTCGCAGTTCATTTTGATCTTTGTTGTCGTTCATAAATGAAAATAGAATTGTCACAATGGATGACGAATTTTCTTGGTGTGATTACGGGCCATTCTTTTTGATTGGAGTGAAAATTTTCAACTTTAAATCGTATCATGGTCGACATATTGTTGGTCCTTTCACCGATTTGACAGTCATTATCGGTCCAAATGGTTCGGGTAAATCGAATCTAATGGATGCCATCAGTTTTGCTTTGTTGGTGCGAATCGACAAATTAAGGCTTAGAAATGCAGCCAGTTTGACTGATGACTCATACTATCAAAGTGATGAAAGTGATTATTGCGAAAAAGATTCGAATCAAAAAGTATTTGTTGAATTATGTTTCAAATCTAAACAAGATTCGAACCTGACTGTATTTTTTCGGCGATCGATTGCTCGTAATAAATCGTATCATTATTACATTAATAATGAAAATGTTACGAAAAATAATTACATCGAAGGATTATTGAAACTTGGCTTCAACGCGAACGATAAATCTTTTCTGATTTTTCAGGAAAAAATTGACCGATTTATTCAAGATGATCCAAAAAACTTCACTACAATTTTAGAAGAATTATCTGGAAGTCAAATCTTCAAGAGGGAATATGATGAGTTGAAGGTTTGTATCCATTTCATACTTGTGATCAATTAATTGTAATTAATGCCTGTATTAGACACAATGTTCCACGAAAGAAAATGAACTCAATTTGTTGGTCAAAGAGAAGCAAAAATTCTATCAATCAAAAAGATTTGTTGATTTTCTCAATTCAGAAACACACAAAAATAATACACTTATAAAAATTATCAATGTTTTGAAAATTCAACAAGTGTTACTTGATTTATACAATGTTCGTTTGGAATTCGAAAAAATGCAACAAGCCAAAGAAAAAAATGTTGAAATCGCCGAGGAAACATCTCGCCAACTTACAATTTCAGAACAAGAAAAAAATGCAATCAATGATGAAGTGATCAAAATCAAAGATGAAAAAACTAAATTAGAAAAACAAATTCGTGAAAATGAATTCGGTGTATTTTTCCAGGTGAAATGTGAATATCAAAAAGTCACAGAAGAATGCGCCCATATTGAAACATTAATTAAAAATGCAAATGTTAATAAAAATAAACTTTTATTGGAACGGAAAATGAAAGAAGATTTAATACATACGTATGCAAAAGAAATCGACAAGCTAGAAAATGTGATTCGTGAATATCGAATTCAGATTGAAAATCAAAAAATCGATCCAGAAATAATTGCTGAATATAAACGGTATTTTGTTCATTCTATTTATGTTACTATAATTTAATAATTATTCTCATATCTTCATAGTTTGAAAAATATATTCTTGATCGAAATCGCTCCATACGAACATGATCATGGTGCTGTTGACAACAAAGTTCGTCAGCTTAAACAGCAACAAGCATCGTTGCAAACGTACAAGGATCATTTAAAAGCAGAATTGATCAACGAAAAATTGGATGAAATTGACAAGGAAATTCGTAAATTCACTAATCAACGAGATCAACTTGAAAAAGAAAAAACAAAACTTACAAAAAATATCGAAGAAATCAAGTCACAAATCAGTGAATACGAACGTAAACTTGAAACATATGACCAAAACATTGCCGAAAAATATGCCTTTCTCAAAAATAAAGAAGAAACTAGCAAACAAAAACGATTCCTCAAATATTTAATAGACAATTATCCAAATGTCCATGGACGTATGGCTGATTTGTGTAAACCAGCCAATAAAAGGTTTTATTCTCCAGTATCAATTATAATAATATTAATGTACCTTTTGTTTTCAGATATCAATTGCCATTATCGATAATTATGAGAAAATATTCAAATGCAATTATTGTCGATTCCTTTCAGACAGTCGAACTAATATTTCGTAATGAAAAATCTCAGTTCATAGATTCGGAAACATTTTTAGCATTAGACATAATAAAAGCTCCAACTTTAAAAGAAAATCTTCGTCATATTGCGGCAACTAATGTTACTTTGGCCTATGATTTGATTGATTTCAAAAAAAATTCCGCAATCGAAAAAGCCATTAGATTTGTAGTTGGCAACACACTTCTGTGTGAAACACGAGAAGATGCTGCACGAGTATCATATAATCTTGGTGATGGCCAAAAGTTCGTATAGTTTCTCATGATTTGAGTTTTCATTTATTTCAACTGGATTTTAATTATCTTACAGATATAATGTCATTTCTCTTGATGGTACAATATTCAACTCAAATGGTCGTATTTCGTTTGTACAAACTGGAACGGTGAAAACCATATGGAAAGATGAAGAATATTCGGAAGAATTGCTGGAAAAAAAGTCACTACAAGCAACTTATTTAGATATTTTAAACAAAAAAGATGCCATTGTCCAAGAGCTCAATCGAATTGATGCACAACTATTTGAGTAAGTAACATTCTGATCATATCACTTAATTAATTATTTATTTATTCTGGTATTAGTTGCAACACTCATCTAGTGATACAATCAAAACTCAAAAATGAATATCGAAAAAATCTGGAAGATATCCATTCACAAATGAATGAGCTCGACGAAAGGCTTACACAAATTAATTCTTTTCTCTTCGAAATATCTGATTCAATGGATAGTTATGAACGAAGTTATAACCGTATCGAAACAAATGTATTTGGACAATTTCTTTCGAGAATCAATGTGCCTAACATTAAGCAATTCGAATCTATTTATCAAAATCTGTTGGATAATGAACATTTGGCTGATTGCGAAAGTCGTTTAGAAAACTTGAAAGATAGAATGAAAATTGAACAAAACAAATCATTTGACAAGGAAATGGATAAATGGGACAAAATCATCCAAGAAAATTTGCGTAAACTAGATAAAACCAAGAAAAATCTCAATTCTGTTCAGAAAAGATTGGAAAAAAGTGAAAAATCTCTTAGTAATCTAAAAAATAGATTGATAGAATTGGATGAAGTCCTCGCAGAGAAGACCATGAGGTTGCAGCAGATTAATAAAGATGTTAATGCGGCACGAAAAATGCTAGAATCGACGAACAAAAGTTTAGTGAAATTAGAATTTGATCTACAATCGCTAACAAACAAGAGACATGAAATTTTTGAAAGATCATTCAACGAAAGTATCGCAATTCCCATTCGACAAAATTCCAGTATCCTTGATGAAATATTTGGGGAATCACATAACTTGACAATCCAAGATATGTATGATCGTGAATCTGAGATTGATGTGGATTTCGATCGGTATTCTGAAATCAAAGTAAAAACGGATAAAGAATATTTTGAAATGAAACTCAAAATCAATAATGAAATTCTTGGAAAAGAGTCGGAAATTCAACAGTTAACCTTAGCTTCCGAGTCATCTTTGTCATCCAAGTTAGTATTTATAATTTTATTATTCGAAAAATGATGATTCATTTTAATATTCTATATTGTCAGAAAATCCGAATTGCACCAAAGGATTCAGTCGATCAATATTGAAATCAATCAGGTCACAACTGAACTGATTTCGCTTAAAGAACAGTTTCAAAATGTCAAACAACAACGAATTATGGCTTTCAACGATTTTTTTCAAAAAGTTACTGAAAATTTAGATAAGTTTTATAAGGAATTGATGCAAAATGAATCATCACAATCGTATCTTATACCAGAGAATCATGAAGAACCTTACCTGAGTGGTGTTCTTTTTAATTGTATCGTTCCTGGAAAGTCTTTTCAACCAGTTTTATCGTTGAGTGGCGGTGAAAAAATCATGGCTATTTTTGCATTTTTGTTTTCAGTGTATTTTGAAAAAATGCCAACTTTTTTCATAATGGACGAGATCGATGCTTCTTTGGATAATGCAAACACGGGAAAGGTTTGTGTTCTTGATTTAGAAGTTCAAATATCTAAATCTTTTGTTTCCATAGCTCTTGTCATTTTTGAAATCCAAGAAATCATTGACTCAATTCATTTTGATTTCATTGAAACCGGAATTGTTTGATAAAGCTGATTCACTTATTGGTGTATGCAAAGAGGTAAGTCTTAAATGATGGTTTCATCACTATTCACTAAATTAAATTTTTCATTTTGCAGAAAATTAATGTCTATTCATTCACCAGTAAATCCTATTCTGTTGACATTCGTCAATTTGATGATTAATGCTTCAATTTGATTTCCATTTATAACTCAAATCAATCGCACATAAAAAAATTCAAATTTCTATTATAACTTAATGAAGCTTAAGCGTTTAAATAGTTTTGTTAAATAAAATTCGATTTGCGAAATCTTAATATGTTTCTCATCATGCCATTAATATTTATTTTAAAATATCAAAATCAATGAATTTAATTCCATCGAAACAAAACTTTTTTACAAATTATCTTTATCTGACGGAAAAATCGTCGAGTGACGTAATTTTTAAGACAAAAAAAATTCAGATTGCCTTAATTCTTTTTTTATTCTTATAGGATGACTTTCAAAGAAATTTACTATTCAAATTATCGCGATCCAAATTAGATTCAAAAAAAGAGAATATTTTAATCAAGTATTTGCTTAAATTTTTTCGAAGTAAAACCAAAAATCACAGGCATCAACAATATTATTTCAAGAATTCTACTCAATTTTTGCGATTCTTTGCTGGAATCGTACATTATTGTCCAAAGATAATTTTAGATCAACTTGTTGATTCGAATTTTGTTAAACGATATCACACCGTTCTGCTTTTGAAATCTGTTATCAGGTATTTAGTCTATATATCAATTTATAATAATCATTTTTAGTTTTTTAGCCTATTGATTCTGAAACATTATTCAATCGACATCATATTTTTATCAAAAATCAATCAATCATCCGAATATTCTCATTTTGTATTGGCATCTCTTGTAAATTGCTTCTCGGATGAAAATCATTTATTACGGAGATTGTTGATTGAAATTTCACAATTATTGTTAAATTGTTCGTCGGAATTGATAGATTCTTCCATCCAGAAAGAGTTGAACGATAGAATTTGTCATCTTTGCATTTATGATAATGAGAAAGAACTGCGCCTATTGTCATTGGATGTTCTGGAGAAATTGGCACATTGTCGCCCAGAGATTTATTGCCAGAAAACATTTGAAACCTTAATTTTTTTATGTCTACACAAGAATGAAAACGATAAATTACGGATATTGATTGAGGAAAAATTGTCCACCATTTACATCGACCTTACATTACATTATCCAAGAAACATTTTTACAATTCCAAATTTGGCAAAAATTGCTGGCGCTCTACTCGTTCGTTTCAATCAAATCGAAAACAAACAAAACAACATGTTTGAGAAGCGTTATTTATACAATCTTTTGTCAAATATCCGTATGTTTTTGGAACAAATTAATGAATATGAATGATGATAATTTTGCCATAATAAAAATTGAAGAAAATATAAAATTAGAGTAAGATTCTCGAGTGTCTGTATTATTTTATGGTCAAAGAAAAAACATAAATAGCGGATGATTTCAAAGTAAAAAAAATTATTGACACTTGTGTAGTATTAATAAAGTAAAATGAAATTTTCATTATATATATAAGTGTGTATGGACTATGTACGCATCGATCCTGTCTTTCAAACTTATTCCAATGGATTTTTTTTTTGTTGTAGTCCATTGGATGGCGGTTGTAATGTGATGATGAATATACAGGTTGCTCACGACTTACAATTAAAGGTTAGAAAACGAACACAATCCATGGTGTAAGTCGACAATATTGTAGATTGAAAAACATTAATTTGGACAAGATTTTTTAAAATAACATTTTTTCGAGCATCCTTTGTGTACTAAACTTATGCGAATCGAATCATTATAACAGTGATCAACATTAACAACAAAATATCATTAAGTCGGGGGCTACCTGTACACACATATACACAATCCACATTTTGGGAGCATTTTTGTTGTTGTTGTTGGTCCTTTTTTTCTGTGTATATTTTTCACATGCATGGCAAGCCGCCGCTTTGAGTACCGATACCCAAATTCACCGATTTATATGAAAGAAACAACAAAAATCGAGTATTACTGTTTTGGTTTGTTGTGTTATTTACTCTATTTACTATTTTTTTTAGATATTTGGATACATTCATACAAACCGCTGCCATTATAATTTTTTTCGTAATTTCAATTCATTCAACTAAAAAAATAATTTATTTTCTTGTTTATTTTTCGATTCAATTAACTAAACAAGAATCAGAATTGTAAGGTGCACTTGTTTGTTTTTGTTTGTTTATTTTTTGTTGTTTTTAATTCGGCATTCAATATCATCATCATCATCATCATCTTAATCATAAAAATATCCATCGTTTTTAATTTCATGAATATTTTCTACCTCTTATTAAATTAAAAAAATACGGTATTTTAATAATTCAATATTTGCCAATGTTTATGATTCTTTTCTTTTCATATTGCTTAGACAATTGCCCTGATAGATTTTGTCTACATTGATTAGTAGATTTTTTCCTGTAAATAAGTTTTAGTAAAACAACTTTATCATTCTACTGAATCAATCAATCAATCAATTGAATTTCATTATATATAATAATTTAGCTTCAGTTTGTACTGATGATTATGATTGTTTGTGTCTATGTATGTGTGGGTGGGTGTGTTCTTCTTTGATCAGATGTGATGTGACTTATTGAACGACGAATATTAATAATTATCCATAGTTTTCATATCAATTGTTTTCGATTCATAGGAAATTGTTTAAAGCAACTCACTTTGGATTGTTGTTGCGATGAACAATTTTATTTGATTTAAATAATCGGTTGTTTAACAGAATGACATGCTATAAATGTATTTCCTCAATAAATTTTTAATTGTTTGTTGTGTTAATATTTTTTTTCATATTGTAAATTATCGTTTCGAATTTAATTATCAAACATCATTTTAACTGAGATTTTTCAGTAGTTATTTTTCAAAAAAAAAAATTTTAAAGGTGAAAATAAGTTTCTTAATTGTCAAAATATATGATGACAATGATAATGGAAGGAGATGAAAATGGGTCATCCCAAAAAGGAGCATTGAATAATAATTCATCATCATCATCATCATCATCAACAACGATAAATTCACAGTCACAACAACAACAATCTATGATTTTCTCAACAACAGATCAGCATAATAATAATACTAATAATTCATCAATTCAACTGTCTACGAATTCTATGAACAACGATATTCAATGGGCATTTTCACAAATCAAAGGTCCACTTGATGAAGAAATTGCCGAAGGTATGTGGGATGAATTTGAAAAAAAAATCTCTAATAAATTTTGTTGTTTCAAAAACAGCTGATATAATATCATGTGTCGAATTCAGTCATGATGGTGAATTATTAGCAACTGGAGATAAAGGTGGACGTGTAGTCATATTTCAACGTGATCCATTTGTAATTATTACTATTGATAAATTTTTTGTTTTGTTTTTACTAGTGAATTGAATTTCCTTATTTCTTTTATTCCAAAACATAATCATAATTAATTAGGTTGAAAATAATAAACGTTCCGTATTATATAATTTTTATACAACATTTCAAAGTCATGAAGCTGAATTCGATTATTTAAAAAGTTTAGAAATTGAAGAAAAAATCAATAAAATCCGATGGCTTAAAAGAAAAAATGCTTCTAATTTTTTGCTAAGCACTAATGATAAAACAATAAAATTATGGAAAATTTCCGAACGAGATAAACGTATTGATGGTTTCAATTTGAAAGATGATAATGGCCAGATGAGAGTCGTTGATCCTGATTCTGTGACTTCGTTACGAGTGCCAAAAGTAGTACAAAGCAAATTAATGATTGAGCCAACACCAAGACGAATATTTGCTAACGCTCATACATACTTGATAAATTCAATATCTGTCAATAGTGATCAAGAAACTTATCTTTCTGCGGATGATCTTCGTATTAATCTTTGGAATATTGAAATCAATGATGAAAGTTTCAGTATGTTTTATGAATATTTATCAAAAAAAACTATACCCTATTTTTTAACTTTTCTCTGAATAATATAGATATTGTTGATATCAAACCAGTTAATATGGAAGAACTGACCGAAGTCATCACTGCGGCTGAATTCCATCCACATCATTGTAACTATTTTGTTTATTCAAGCAGCAAAGGAATACTGCGTCTTTGTGATATGCGTGCAGCTGCACTTTGTGATCGTCATGCAAAAAGTTTGTGATTCCTATTCCTGTACGATTTTTGCTAAATTTAATTCTATTCAATTTAGTTTTTGAAGAACCTGAAGATACAAGTTTCTTTTCCGAGATAATATCCAGCATTTCAGGAATCAAATTTAGCAACAATGGCAGATATTTGATCTCACGTGATTATATGTCAATCAAAGTTTGGGATATTAATATGGAATCCAAACCAGTCGAAACGTATCATGTTCATGATTATCTTCGTTCAAAATTATGCAGCCTGTTCGAAAGCGATTATATATTTGACAAATTTGAATGCTCAATAGATAATTCTGATACGTAAGTTTTTCGTTTCAATTTTTAAATTTTCCTATTTTAAATTCTTAATTCTTAATTAATTTCATTTCGACAGTCATATCATGACAGGATCCTATAACAACTTTTTCAAAGTATTCAATCGGAAAACTAAACGAGAAGTCATGTATGAAGCAGCAAAAGATTGTACAACAATGAATAGCATTTTAAAACAAAGAAAAGTAATTCATTTTTTGTCATTGTATTCATAATTTCATCAAACTAATTTAAATTCGTTTTGACAGGTGAATTCTGGTGGTAAAAAGAAAAAAGATGAGATTCATGTCGACAGTTTGGATTTTACTAGTAAAATATTACATACAGCATTTCATCCAAACGAAAATATCATTGCTGTTGCTGCCACTAACAATCTTTATCTTTTCCGTGAATCATTTGATAAAGAATGAATCTATTATTTAGAAATCATTTCCTATTCGATCAATACAACCTTAATTATCATAATCACTTTTACAACGAATATATGTACACGGTTTTAAACATGAAATCACACTCCCTTCGTGAATTATCACCTCTAATATTGATCAATGTTACAAGTCACACCAATCAATTAAACGGTATATATCGTTGAAATGGTTGTTTTTCTATTATTATTATCATTCGGTCCAATTATATCACGATCCTCACATCCCTGGACATTTACCATATAAAAATGCACACAAGCCCATCACTTTCACCTGGAGAACAAATAACCCTTTATCGTTCAATGATTTCAACAAGAGAAACTATATTGTATTCATTGTTACAATCAACGATGTTTACATTTTTCATTTTGTTCAAAACATTTGTCCATCATTATATAACCACCGTTCTGATCAAATGATGAACGTTGATGATGATAATGAAGTTTTTATCATAATTTTTCATTAGCATGTCCTTAAATAAATCAATTATCATCACATCATTTTCGTTAATGATCATTGTTCGTGGAACACAGAATAATTTCTTTATTTTTTGATTATTATTATTATTATTATTTTTTGTTTGTTTTGTTTACATATTATTTGTGCACACACAAACACAGAGATAGCATGTATGTATTTTTTCCACCTCTATAAATATTATTGATGAATATCCTAATAAATTTTTTTCGGCCCTTTTTTTAGTATTTTTTCTGCAAAAAAATATATATTCTGTGCTATTCATTTCGTTCCCTTTCTATAAATATTGCAAAAAACAAACAAAGATAATGATTAAAAATAACTTATATATAAAAAGTAATTTCATTATCATTTATCAATCGTCTTAAAGTGATATGGACCTTGAATCTCATTATTGTTGTAAAACATCATGTTTTTTTTGTCATGTTTAGTGCTATGAAAATCATTCAGACCCAATTTTATTGTCCTTAATTTTATTAATTTTTAAATTTATTTTGTATTAAATTTTTTTTGTCCAATTTGAATAAAAAATGAAATTTAAATAAAACAATGATATTGATTAATAATGAATGAAAATGATAATTATTCTGTTGTTCATGAAGCATTTTTGTTTTATATTTATCGATCATTCATGGAATTTTAAAAAAATGAATAAATCGAAAAAATGATTGACAATTGCTTTTGCTGTCATTGATCGTTTTTCTAATACCTTTAATTAATTTTTTTTTCATGGTTGTTCATTGATATTGTTCTGTTTTCAATTCCATGATACATATTTGGCAAAAGCATAATAATCATTGACATGAATGATAAAAAAAATGTGGGAATTGATCATTGATAAAGATGTTAGTATAATTTTCATTTTCATAACTAATTTACGTAAACATATCTCTCAGTAACCATACACAGAGAGTCAGTAGGCATTACCATTTAAAATATTTTCTCTCGTCGGACAATGTTTTGCCCACATCAATAATAGCAATTTATATACGATTTGTTAGATCATCTTTGATGTTGATTCGAACTATTACTGATAGACAAAATAGTAAGAAATCTTTAAATGCTTATTATAATCATCATAATCATTATGAATATAGATATACCAATTATGATATCAAAAAAAAGAAGAGAAAAAACAAAATGAACATATATTTTTTTGACAGATTACAGCCATAACAGCAACAACGACAATGATGATGATGACAAGCGATGCAACAATAAGAGAGATATATAATTTAAACCGTTTTATAAATTTTTGAATATTTTTTTTGAATAGGCTTTAGTCATTCACACACACAAATGCTTGTTAATTGTTTTTGATTTATACATCAAAGAATTCATTCATTCATTCATTCATGTAAGATTAGGATTCGTTCCTGTCTTTTTTTCTATCTCTCTGTCTTTCCATATATTTTCATGTCTTGATTCCATGTATCTGGGTCGTCGTCTTCATCAACATTTTTGTTGTTGTTGGTTGGTTGGCATTTTGACACCTGTTGTTTGTTTGTCATAAATCTTCTCATCAAAAATCAAAAAAAAAGAGGATGAAATGGAAAAAAATTTACAATTATGATAATGATGTTCATTCTTTCTAATTCTTTATGATTTCTTTATTTTTTCCTCGATTTAACAAGATCAAATAAAAATGAAAACAAAATAGAACAACAAAAATCTGTGAAATGTATGACAAGAATGAAATTGATTCTAATTGCTTTGCTTTTTTATTTTTGTTTTGTTATTATCATTTCATTATTTTTTTCTTTCATTTTGATTCCATTGTATTCGTAGTCATTTCATGATGATTGTGGAAATATATTTCACTCACACATGATCAAGTCATCGTTTTTTCTTTTTCGTCAAAAAAACCGCCACTTTTTTTCGGATTTGATCACCATTTTTTTCGAGGTTTTCTCACCTCAAACAAAAACCTATTATCACTTACAGTGAGTGTGTGTGTGTTTCATATAATAATTTCGTGATTTCAGGATTTGATTTGTGGTTTTTTTATATTCCATTTCTTCATTTTTTCTCCAAACTGAAAACAAAAACGAAAAAAAACCACACGAATCAGAAATGAATGAAAAATTAATTTGCAAAAAAATAATAATTGAAATTCAAACAACAATTTGCGAAAGATGGCGCCTATTTTCACTGAATTCAAAAAAAAACGGAAATTCTCAGTTTTTTCTTGTCCAAAAAACAAAATTTGAAAACAACACTTTGTTAGCTCTCATCGATTTGAAAAAAAACATAGAATAGATTCTAAAAAGGTGATAAGAAAAAAAATAAATGAAAAAAATTTGAAAACGTATCAAAAATTTTTTGTAGCATGGCGTCAACAAAAATGGCGAAAGAGACCACTTGGCCATACACATTTGACATGATTAATTATTGTTTATTATTACTCCTTCTATGTGAAAATCACTATTCGTATGTATGGTTAGTTGTTATTGTTATTATTATTATACAACGATAAGCGATCATTGGATATAATAAAAAATACTTGAGTACTTTTTTATTATTTTTTTTTTATATTTTCGACAACAAAGTCCATCTTTTTTTCTGCTACCCAAACAATTTATTGCTTGGATCGTTTTTTTTTTGCTGTTCGGGGAGTGAACGAAACACCAAAAAAGAATTGTATCGAATTTTGTTTTTGGTATGATGTGAATTAATGGTAGACAATGTATAATATGTTATATGATTACATCATCATCATCATAATGATGCTAATAAAATGGTATAACACTATATATTTGAAAAAGAGTGTGTTTGACACTTCCGTAACAGGAATTTTTTTTCTTTTACAACAAGAGAAAAACAGTTTGCTGGCAACAACGAAAAAAAAACAATCAGAATATACGATTGTTCACTGGATTTTTATTATTGAAAGATTGATTGATCCAAAATGCACGTGCTTCGATTGATTCAGTAATTCAAACTATTTTTTTGTTTTGTTTTGATTTTCGCAAATAAAAACAAAACAAAATAGTCATCTTGTTAATTAATCAATTTTGTTACGCAAAAAGTAATTCGATTATTTGATTGCATTCTCGATTCATTGTTAATTTGTGGCCAAATTAACTTTCTGTTCTCATTTTGTTCATGCATGTTCTCTTGTGAATTTTTTCTCTTTCCAGTTTTTTTTTTGTTGCACAAGTCGATTTTGTTTTTCAAGTTCGATAAGTCTGAAATAACATTCTATGTAAATAAATCAAAATCATCAACAATGAAAACAATGGACAACTTTTTTTTTGGCTATTTGATTATAAAATGAACCATAAGTAAATTGTTTCAATCATTTATTTAGCCATTTGGTCAACAGAAATAAAAAGTAGAATAATAAATTGGATCAAAGTGTCAGTGTATTTGTATGTGTGTGCGAATGATGTTGATGGGGTCGTTGTCAGTCAAATGAACCGATGATGATTGTATTTACTTGGCCATATTTATGTTTGGTATGTTTCTGGATGATGAATACACGCATACATATATTTTTATATGGTTGTCGATTGTTGAATTTTTGTCAAATAACTTAAAACACACATACACGTATGTATACAATTTTCACCCAAATATCATTCAATACTATCCATTCAATCATAGGCTGATTTTGACTTTTTTACGCTTAATGGAGCATGATGCACACACACACACTACCAGAATCAAATTGTCTCGACAATCCGAACTGATTTGGATAATACACACACACACACATACAAGGACAATCTTTTCAATACTTTTCACTATTCATTATTGTAGTTTTTAGTTCATTTTCATCATGATTTTATCATTATCATCATCCCATGGAATATGGTATGTTTGTCAACATGACCGTAAGTAATACCGCAAAAAAAAGATATTCATCCCCCTCAACGTTTTTCTATCATTATATTCACTATAGTTCATCATGTCATTGAATTCATATTGAAAGTGTCCCGAGTTGTTTGAAAAGATGTCATTCATAGTGATGATGATTATGATTATTATATTAGTATTTGATTGAACCAGAAAGAAAAAACAATCACAACGTTATTCGTTGAATGATGTCATATTGTATTTTAGAAAAAAAATGTTAGTTTTTATAATATTCTATGTTCAGATAAGACTTGTCAACAAGATTCTTATTCTTCAATTTTTTTTCTTTTTACACCATACACATATTTCTATATAATATGATATGTAACATGTCTATTAAAAATATGAAACAACAAAATGAAGAATCAAAATTTTGGAACAGAAAAATTGTTATTTAAGATGACAAGACCATAATGAAATGAATAAAATGACAAAGAAAATACTGATAAGAAATGTCTACCATCAATATCATTATAATCATCAACAAAACTTTCTGGACAATAGAAATGGCAATAAAAATGTTTGTCGCTCTAATTAGATAGCATTTGGTTAGTTAGTTATTTTGATTATGATTATTTGTAACAAATTTACCACAAATATAATACACACATCAACAATAATCATCAGACCAGATCGGACATGGGTTGTAGCTAGCATTGTAGATTCTTATATAATGATGTTAATGGTGATCATTGTATTTTTTGATCGTTTCGTTTGTTCATCAAAATAAGTAAGTGTATTTGTGTTCAGTTTATTATATTTACACTAT